AACCAATATATGGCTAGTCCTTAGTGGTATGAGCAGAAACACATGAAACTCTAATTCTTCACTTCCTAGATGGTGGAGTGGGGAACAATTATGAAAATCTCTCTCACTGGGCGCTGTGGCTCATGCCCGTAATCCCAGCACTTTGGGAGGCTAAGGCGGGCACATCATCTGAGGTCAGGAGTTCAAAACTAGCCTGGCCAACATGGCGAAACCCTGTCTCTACTAAAAGTACAAAAAATTAGCTGGGCATGGTGGTGGGCACCTATAATCTCAGCTACTCAGAAGGCTGAAGCAGGAGAATTGCTTGAACCTGGGAGGTGGAGGTTGCAGTGAGCCGAGATTGCACCTCTGCACTCCAGCCTGGGCAACAAGAGCAAAACTCGGTCTCAAAAAAAAAAAAAAAAAAAAAAGAAGGAAAGAAAATCTCTCTCCTCCACCTGAATGAAGCTCTGGGCTTCCAGAGAAATTCCAGAACCCTGGGGAAAGATGGGATCCAGCCAGCCTGCAACTGTCGTGAGCACATGTGGCGTGTCAGTTTTCCTGTCATTTTAGTGCCCACGTCTCCCCGTCATCTCTCCCACTCCCCGTGTGTGTGTGTGTATGTGTGTGTGTGCGCGCACGCGCGTGCGTGTGGTGAGGGAAGGGTTTCAAAATGAAATCCCCTCAGCTTGGGTGGCAGGCTGGCCAGACACTTTGTATCTCCTGGAGTGGAGACGGGGGTTTGCACCCAGCTACCCACACTAGCTGACCTGGTCTTTTATGTGACATGCATTTGCCAAGCAATCATCCAAGCTTCGAAGGTCAGTCCGTGGCCAGGGAATAGAAAGGTGTATTTTCTTCCTTTTCTGCTGTGCCAAATCTCCCCCTCGCTTCCCCTCCACCCTCCTTCAAGGTCTAGCCCAGGCCCGCATCCCTCACAAAGCCTTCCCTCCCTCCTCCAGCGGCTGCAGACCTCCAGTCCGGGCCGCTGGCCTCTCCTCCAACAAGCACAATTAGCACCTGACCAGCCTCTGGCCCCGCTGCTAGTCCTCGCCTCTGATTGTTTCAGTGTCTTAGTCATCACTTCCCTAGCGCCTCCTTCTCTCCCCCGCACAGCACCTAGCATTGGTTGGGCACACAGTAGGTGTTAATAAATGTCTGTTGAATTGAAACTCAGCGGCCCCTATGAGGTCATAACCCTCATAAGCACCCCGACCAGCAGTTTCTTGGCAACCGGCACTGGGGCCCAAGCTACAGGGCATTAGCAGCGAGACTGCTATTACAGGACTCACGAGGCTCAGCGGCCAGAGAGAGGTTTGCAGGCAGGTTGGTGTTGATGAGAAAAAAGCCCCTGATCCCTAGGAAAGCGCCTATGGGATTCTGGGTACCTTGCAGGAGTTTCCTTTCTCCCCTGCAGAAGTAGTTTTCAGTGTGAGAACCACAAAGAGAATAAATTGGAAGACAAGCCAGAAACCTCTTTGCAGCTTAGAAATCCAGGAGAGATGTCAAGCCCAGGTTGGGGTCAGGCCCTATACCCCTGAGGGAAGAAGGCTGCCCAGGGCCTTTCCCAGCTTCGTGGGGGATCCCAGGAGATGCAGTGGGCATGGCCGGCATGAACCTTTCCACTGCAGGGGGCTATAGGGATGTTTGGGGGTGTCCCTAAGAAATGCCATCTTCCTCCAGAACCCAACAAATGACATTCTGCAAGATTGCCATCTGCAGCTCATGCAGAAACCAGTGCCCCGGCCAGACATGGTGGCTCACGCCTGTAATCCCAGCACTTTGGGAGGACGTGGTGGGCAGATCACTTGAGGTCAGGAGTTCAAGATCAGCCTGGCCAACATGGTGAAACCCCCTGTCTATAAAATATATAAAAATTAGCCAGGGGAGGCCAGGCGTCGTGGCTTATGCCTGTAATCCCAGCACTTTGGGAAGCTGAAGTGGGTGGATCATGAGGTCAGGAGTTCAAGACCAGCCTGGCCAACATGGTGAAATCCTGTCTCTACTAAAAATACAAAATTAGCTGGACGTGGTGGCGCATCCAGCTATTTGGGAGGCTGAGGCAGGAGAATCACTGGAACCTGGGAGGCAGAGTGAGCCCAGATCACTCCAGCCTGGATGACAGAGTGAGACTCCATCTCAGAAAGAAAAAAAACCCAACTATTTAGCCAGGGGTGGTTATGGGTACCTGTAATCCCAGCTACTCAGAAGGCTAAGGCAGGGAGAATTGCTTGGGCCTGGGAGGTAGAGGTTGCAGTGAGCCAGGATCGCACCACTGCACTCCAGACTGGGCAACAGAGTGAGACTCCATCTCAAAAAAGAAAAAAGAAACCAGGGTCCCTTTCCCTCTCATTCACCCAAATCCTAGGGCAAAACTCTGTGTGGGAGGAAGGGAGGTGCATCTATACCCGAATCTGGCCAGGGTCTCAAGGCAAAGAGAAGCCTCCAAGTCTAGGGTGCTTGATCCCCCACACTGGCTCAGGGATTTGATAGTGGCTTCACATTATGATTATTTATAAAGATGGCTTATCCCCTTTCCCTGGCCCCCTCCATTCTCCTGCTCTGACTCCAGCCCAGACGAAAAGGTACACACAATCCTGGAAGGCAGGTGGTGTCTTCCTCACATCCACGTTTTCCTCACTGCCACTCTTTTGGGGCCCAATACTAGGACTGGCCCTAAGCGAGTGTTTGCTGAGTTGCATCTGAGTTTTAGGTGCTGCATTAGGCAATATCGTAAGGCCGACTCGCACTTACTCACTTACTGTGTGTCACGTGCCGTTCTAATAAGCAGCTTATATGTATTCATTCATGGATTTGATCCTCACTGCAGTGTTATGAGGTAGGTCTCATGGACAGATGAGGAAACTGGGGCATACGATTGACTGGGATCACATAGCTAGTAAATAACAACGCTGAGATTTTATCCTAGACAGCCAGGCTTTAAGAACTGGAGGTAAGGGGTTCAGAATTACAGTGAGCTGTGACTGTGCTATTGCATTCCAACCTGGGTGACAAAGTGAGACCTTTAATTTAAAAAAAAAAAAACATGAAAACAAAAACTGGAGGTTAGATGAGAAAATTGCCGGGGTGGGGGGATGTGGAGAGGATGAAGGCCCAGCTTAAGAGCAGAAGAGCAGAGGTTTCCCCAGGAAAGCAAACTCATCAGCCTGTGTCTGCCTGGGTCTCTGCCACATAGGGCCTGATTTTTGCAGGATGAGGGGCATTTTGGACATGCTATCAATCAGGCCCCTACAGACAGACCACAGCAGCCTCCTTATTAGATCCCAATATATACCAGAGAAGACAGAAGCCACTGTCACCACTTAGCACGAGGTGAGGGAGGGTGGATTTGGGGCCCCTAGGTTGTCCAGGGGTGGGCGCCAGTTCCTGAGCAACCACCGAGCAAACAGTGCAGCAGAGGGAGGAGGAATGCCAGACATAGTTGCAAACAAGCCACTCCTTCGGCTCACAGCAAGAGGCTGGGTGAGGGTTGGAGCCTGGAGCCTGGGTGAGGGTGGGAGCCTGCTTCATGGTCCCCCGCCCCCAACAAGAAATCCCAGGCTCTGAACCCAGCCCCAGAAACAACCACATGCAAGAGAGCCTCCTCCCCACACCGGCTGGCTGGGATAGGAAGTTCTCCCTGATAATCTCCGCTGAACTCCAGAGAGCTCCTCCTACACGGCTCCTGTGCTGGATGCACTGAATGTGAATTAATGGTTGAGAAAGCACTTTATAACCAGGAAAACCCAGTGTCACTAACTACAAGGAGGGATTGGCATTCTTGCTGGGCATACGTGTTCCCCAGGCATTTTCAGTGCCAAAGTCTCCCCAAAGGGAAGAACTAGAAGTGTTCCCTTCACCTCCCTCCAACCTGGCACTCAGGCCAGGGGTCAGCTCGCAGGGGGTGAGTCCCCAATGGGCGTGCCCACCAGCTGTTGGGGCTGAGCAGTGGTGGTTCAGGCCCTGGGGTGGTGACCTCACTTCCGCTCCTGCCTCCCCACCTCCCCAGCACTCCTCCCATCTGAGGCCCCACCAGGCCAAAATCGAGAAGTCCAAGGTTAACTGTTCCTTCTCACTTTAAGAGCTAATTAAAATAATTAGCCACAATGAACTGTCAAACATTAACCAGAAGAGGCTGCAGGACCAGACAGGCCTCCATCACCGGCCGAGGGATGAGGGGCAGGATCAAATGGCTATCAAATCCCTCAACTGGGGTACACTGGGGGGCGGGACGACCCAGGAGGACCTCGCTGAGCCGAGGTGCCAAGGGGTCAGGAGGCGACTCTGGTCAGGAAGGCGATGTCCAGGCACACGGTGGTGAGAAAAGGGTGTCAGGGTTAGGGTGTGGTGGAGGAGCCAGGAATTCATAAGGTGGCCACAGCCTCAGCAGTCCCTCAAGCCTCCAAAACAAGGCGCTGGCCTCAGGGGATCCCGAGCGGTGCCGCGGCTGAGTCCCCTAGGCGGCCCAGGAGGGAATGGGGAGGCGGGAAAGCCGGGGAGAGCGGGAAGGCTGGCGGCTGGCTCACAGGGAAACTCGGGCCCCTGCCAAGAGGTCTCTATTTTGGCGATCCAGTTCTCCAAGTCATAGGTCTGCGTGCGCGTGTGTGTGCGTGTGACCCTAAAGCCCTAGCCCCAGAAGCCCCGGGGGCAGTCGGATCAATGTAGCAGCTCCACCACGGATTGCCCCACCTCCTCTGCCCTCGGGTGTAAAGCTCCTGGGGCCCGCTGTCACGATCCGTGGGTCACGGAACCCGGGCTGCCGGGGGCAAGGGGAAACGGGGGCCCCCACCCCGACTCCCCGACTAGGGGAATCCATTCCACTTCCATCCCGGGATAGGGAGCACGGGTTCTCCATCACACGCGCGGCGGGGCGACGCCAGGGCGGCTCGCGACACGCCGCGACTCTCCCTCCCTTCCCTGGGCCCCCAGCCCCACGCCGGGGCCCCGGCGCTCTCGATCCCGCCCTCAGGCAAACTTTTCCAGGTCCCCGAAGGCTCGAAGAACCGGCGCCATCGACGTACCTGAGGCCGAGTGGCTCACGGGCCAGGCTCAGTCGCCGGGCCGGGGTCGGTCTCCGTAGTCTCCTCCCCGCTCCGGGGGCCGAGACGCGGGTCCCCAGCCCCGCCAGCCCGTCCTCTCCCCTCGGAAGCCCGGCCCGGCGAGTGGCGCCGGGAACTCGGCGCCGGCGAAAGGAGAAGTGGAAGTTGAGCACGGCGCCCGGTCCGTCCCCGCGGCCGCTAGGGCCGCGGTCCCCCGCCCTCCTCCCCGCCCGCCCTTCCTCCCCGCCCGCTTGTCCCCGCCACCCCGCGCCCGTGACTCACCTCGGCGCCGGGGCAGGCTGGTCCGGGCGGGCAAGGCGCAGGGCTCTCCCACACGTCGCGCCGCCTATGGCAAGTTGGAGGGAGAGATGCAACTACCAGGTGAGACGGCGGCGCCCCCGATAAAACGGGGCGGGGGGCGGGGTGGAGCTCGCAGGGAGCAGGGCTGACGCCGGGGAGGGCCAGGCCAAGACGGGGGGTGGTAGGGGCGCCCGGGGAGGGGGCGCGAGCCGGCGCAGACCGGCACCGAAACGAGCGAGCGAAAGGGGAAATTGCACTAGAGACACACACGTCCCCGCAGGCGGCGGCTAGGGCGGGCGCGAAGGAGGCAGGGCGGGAGGGGAGGGAAGAGCCGGAGGGAGGGACCGACGGGAGGGACCGCGGGCGGGCGGGGTGGGGGAGGGAGAGAGGGAGGGACGAGGCATCTCGGTGGAAACAGCGCCCCTCCGCCCCAGCCCGCCCGCCGCGGTCGCCAGCACGGCAGGGGAAGCCGTGCCAGGGGCCCGCTCAGCCTCTCCTTCCCCTCGCGGCTCGCTCGCGCCTGGGGGACCACGAGGCAGGGCGCCCGCAGAGCCCGCAGAGCCCGCGTCGCACGCCGCGGCCCGGCCCGGCACCCCCCACACTGCTTCCAGCGGGCGGGCCCTGGAGCTCTCTGCTCGGTCGGGGCCCTTCCCAGCGCGAAGCCCTCACACAACGCCCAGCGGAGAAATCCCTTCCCCGGGGACTCGGGAAGGTTTCGTCCAGCCCCCTCGGCCCGTGCAAGTGGAGACCTGCTTGACGCCTTTAGGCCAACCCCTGCGCTCCACATTATTGAGCTCCTCGGGTGTGCTGGCCCCAGCGGGAGGGCGGGCCGTGCGGTGGGGTGAGGCCACCAGATGCCCAGAGGATACGATTTTGGAACTATATGCCCGACTCCGCCGAATCCCGGGCCGAACACCTGGGGTGACTGGAGAGTTTAAGCGACTTCTTAGGGAAGTCGAGTCTAGGACTCCCGCTGGGAGTTGGGGTGGGGGGCGCTGGGAGGATTTGAGTCAGGGGACGGGTTGGGGGACAGGAGCTGGAGCAGCAGGTGTAAAGACAGCCACAGTTCGGGTGCTGGGAGCAAGCCCATGCCTACCGTTCTTCCACTGTCCAAACCCAGGCTACTCTGCTCCACGTGCCCACTGGAACAACACGCACGCTCCCCTTCGAGCTCCCCCTTTGCCCTCTCAGACCTGCCTCAATATCAACACCGAGCCCTACCTGATCCTGCGGCTTGGAGGCTCTGGCGAGTCCGCTGGGAATTGTCACTCCTTATAGCTCCACGTGGCCTTGTTGGGGGTGGGGGACAGCCAGGCCTCAGCCTTGACAGAAAGCAGCAAGGCTGAAGGGGCCTCAAGGGCTATGGGCTTGAGGGCTTGAGGTTGAAGGACCTGCTCAGCCTACAGCATCGGCCTGCCTCTCCTGCCTTGGGAATGGATGATCCTAGGCGCAGGACTGGGGGATAGGAGTGGTGGGAGATGATGGCCACAAAGGCAGCAGCAGATTACAAATTCCCAGGGAAAGATCCTGTGGCTGGACTGGGGCGCCGGCCCCTGAGACCTCCTGGAGACTCAGAATCAAGTCCCCAAAACAAGCATTTTGTCCTTTACAAGCGGGCATGCTTTTCCCAGGGGAGTCCAGGTCCTAGAGACACAGTTCTCTGCTGGCCTCTCATCCACAAGGGTCCCCTCTCAAATGTGGGGTAGGTCCCAGATGTCCCTAAGCCCTCTTTGACCTTGAAACTCACGAATGGACACACTCGTCCGCACATGCCCATGCGTGCGCGCGCGCGCGCGCGCGCGCACACACACACACACACACACACACACACACTTTCCCATTTTGCTGAGTTCAGTGGTCTCTAACCTCGGACAGACCTGGGTTCCTATTCCCGCTCACTATTTACCAGCGGCGTGACTTTAGGCAAGTCACTTAAACTCTCTGAGCCTCACTTCTCTTCTTAAAAAAAAAAACAACAAACTAGGCCGGGCGTGGTGGCTCAGGCCTGTAATCTCAGCCCTTTGGGGGGCGGAGGTAGATGAATCACTTGAGGTCAGGCGTTCAAGACCAGCCTGGCCAACCTGGCAAAACCCTGTCTCTTCTGAAAATATAAAAATTAGCCTGGTGTGGTGGTGCATGGCTGTAGTCCCAGCTACTCAGGAGGCTGAGGCTGGAGAATCACTTGAACCCGGGAGGTGGAGGTTGCAGTGAGCCGAGATCACGTCACTGCACTCCAGCCTCGGTGACAGAGAGAAACTCCATCTCAAAAAAATAAATACATAAAATAAAAATAAACTAAATTAAAGTTTTTATTTTTGTTTTTAATTTGTATGGGTACATTGTAGGTGTGTGTATTTATGGGTTACCTCAGATGTTTTGATACCGGCATGCAATGCATCATAATCACATCAGGGTAAATTCGGTATCTGTCACCTCAAGCATTTCTCCTTTCTTTGTGTTATATACAATCCAGTTATACTCTTTTTGTTATCATTTATTTATTTTGGAGATGGAGTTTCATTCTTGTTGCTCAGGCTGGGGTGCAATGGCATGATCTCAGCTCACTGCAACCTCCAGCTCCCAGGTTCAAGCGATTCTCCTGCCTCAGCCTCCCAAGTAGCTGGGATTACTGGCATGTGCCACCACACCCAGCTAATGTTTTGTATTTTTAGTAGAGAAGAGGTTTCTCCGTGATGGTCAGGCTGGTTTTAAACTCCCGACCTCAGGTAATCCACCGGCCTCGGCCTCCCAAAGTGCTGGGATTACAGGTGTGAGCCACTTTGCCAGGCCTTTTTTGGTTATTTTTAATTATACAATAAATTATTGTTGACTGCAGGCACCCTGTAATGCTATCAAGTACTAGATCTTACTAACTAGATTTTTGTACCTATTAACCATCCCCAGTCCCCTGCTCCCAGTCTTGCTTTTCTTATTTTTTAATTGGAGACAATACGAACCTACTTCACAAGGCTGTGGCAACGACTGAATGAGATAACGAAAGTCTATGGCAGTGTTTGGTGCCAAGTAAGTCTTCAACAAATGCTAGCTGTCTTCAGCGTCATGTTCATCTTGTTCATCTTCGGTTTCCTTTCTCAACCCAGCTCTCAGGAGAAGTATGGCCGGGCCAAGGCTGAAATTGCTCAGGACTAGTGGTGGATTCCTCCCGTGAGTGAATGTCCTTGGAACTAAGGCTGATGCCTCAAGGCAGCACGCAAGGAGACGTTTTCCTTTTGGGAAGGGCAGGAAGAGAGGTCGGCACTGCCAACCAGCTCATGGTGACTGGCCCTAATGCCTGCCAGCGCCCTGCAGCCCACGGCTCCTGGGAATCCCATAAGTTCCCACCTTCCCCAGCTGCTCAGAACTAACCACAGCCCTGTGATCTGCTAGTTGCAGCCAAAGCAAGCCCCAACCCTGGTGATGAAAAAGGCTGACCTCGCCTTGAGGAGCCATGGGCCACATGAATGACCTTCCCGGCTGCCTTCTCCTTCCCCACCCGGCTCTCGGCTCTTCTACCTACCCGCTGGGTGAGCCCCAGCCAGGTGGGGCCAGCCAGGCTGAGATCACCACTCTCCCGATGACAGCCAAGCTGTTTCTGCCAATGGCTCATTCCGTGACTTGGCAGGAATTCCCCTTCTCGAGTTGCCCATGGATGCCCAGCCTGCACCATAAGCAGAGCACTCTGAGCCTCTCTGCTTCCAGCCCTGTTTCCCCCAGTCTCCAACCCTGACTGGGTGGTCGCAGGTCTCAAAACTTGGGTCCTGCAAAGAACGGAGGAGCCTCTGTGTTGCCCACAGCCCATGTGGTTCCACCTCCCTACCCGCACACTCAACTCGCCCTTCCACTTTAACAGCTTTCAGAGCCCCTTTGTCTCCTTTTTCTTTTTTTTTTCTAGAGGCAAGGTCTTGCCATATTGCCCAGGCTGGAGTGCAGTGGCACGATCATAGCTCACCACAGCCTCCAACTCCTGGGCTCAAGCAATCCTCCCTCTCCTTGGCCTCCAGAGTAGCTGGGACTACAGACACACACCACCATTCCTGGCTAATTTTTGTATTTTTTGTAGAGACAGGGTTTTGCCATGTTGCCCAAGCTGGTCTTGAACTCCTGAGCTCAAGCGATTTTCTTACCTCGGCCTCCAAAAGTGTTGGGATTACAAACATGAGTCCCACGCCTGGCCTTTATTTTTTAAAGCAGTGCCTGGTAGCTTATGTTTTCCTGCAAATCACTGGAGATTCTTTAGAGACAACTGGCTGGTTTCTCCCTCCTTACACTCACTTAACTCCCTGTCCTCAACAAATTATTATTATTATTATTATTATTTGAGACTCCTGACCTTGTGATCTGCCTGCCTCAGCCTCCCACAGTGCTGGGATTACAGGCGTCAGCCACCACACCCGGCCTCCTCAACAAATTCTATTCAAACTTGTGGCCAGAGCAAAATACCACAATGCCACAGCTTCTGTGGCCAGAGTCCGAACATGCCTCCATAGACACATACTAGAAAAGTTGCTTACTGGTCAGGAAAGGTGGCTCATGCCTGTAATCCCAGTACTTTAGGAGGTTAAGGCGGGTGGATCACCTGAGGTCAGGAGTTTGAGACCAGACTGACCAACATGGTGAAACACTGTCTCTACTAAAAATACAAAAATTAGCTAGGCGTGGTGGCAGGAGCCTGTAATCTCAGCTACTCTGGAGGCTGAGGCTAAGGTAGGAGAATTGCTTGAACCCAGGAGGTGAAGGTTGCAGTGAGCTGAGATCACGCCACTGCACTCCAGCCTGGGTGACAGGAGAAACGAAAGAAAAGAAAAGAAAAGAAAAAAGAAAA